ATGGTCACAAATAAGTACTTTACTGATGTGCATCAATAAAACATCATGTTGTTAAAAAATCATACATTTTGTACTATTCTGAAATGTCGGACTTTAAAACAGTGTTTTATTCATTTTTTTTCGTGCAGCAAACAAAGACAAATCTACATAATGCATACACAGGCACTGCCAGACTGGGAACTCCTGCCAACAGAAAGATGATCACGTATATCCAAGAAGGGTAGGGTACTGAAGCCAGAGACGGGAACTTCTCCTGTTAACCACAAAACATTATGATTTAGCCCATTTGGTATGCAATGAATATCCAAATGATGTAAGTATGATTGACCAAAGTCAGTTTGATTATGATATACCGTATCATTGAGAAACAACATTTACTTGAAGATATTGAGCATGTGAGATAGAGTGGCTGATCACAGAACTTGTCTACTTACAGAGTCGGGATCCCAAACTGAGTACGTGAGCGCTTCTTGGACTTGTGTCACCAGGTAGAAAACTAAAATAACCAGCACAATTAGAGGACTGGTGAACCTCCATGAAATCTGCCAAAAGATAGAGGGCTTGTATCCAACCATGAACTCAAAGTCCTCATTGAACCTGCCACATAAGAGGGTTTTAGTTAGTTTTGAATTGAGTCATGAAATCAATCCTGTATCATTGGATTGCGATAGTTTACCCATCTCCTGCTAGAATATGTTGAATCACTGACCTGTCAATGCCGTAGATGTATACAACAGCTATCATCTCAAACAATCCAATGGTCAGAAGTGGAACAGATCCAGCAAAGTTGTCAAAGAGAGTTACCCAATAAAGCCCTGAATTCTGGGCAAACAGGAGACAGATGATGAAGGCTGTGGCACATGTTAAACCTGAAACATACATACACAAAAACAAGCTTGTGTTAAAACATAAACCAGGGACGAATACCAAAAGTGTTTTATCCAAGTATATAAAAAATCTTTGAAACCAAGTTACCTGTCAGTACTTCATGGGGCCAATTTTTAGGGAATACATTCAGATCTTTCAGTGGGACCACCACTCCTTCGATGTTGCCAAACAGGGTCGAGAGGCCTAAGCTGAAAAGCATGACGAAAAGGAGTACGGACCAGATTTGAGAACCAGGCATCTTGGTTATCGCTTCTGTGAACACGATGAAGGCCAGACCTGTTCCCTCCACTCCCTGCACAAACACAAGGAAGTCATAATGCATGTAGGAGCAAATAACTGGCACTATGGCAGATATTCATCAATATAGTCACCTCACTAAGAAGTGTCTGCATGTCACAAGTTTTGATGTCCAATCCAAGAACAATATCAGGATAAGAGCTGTTGAGACTATTAAAGGCCTCCTCATAGTTGCTTGTGGTGATGTTGTCTTCAGGGAGCTCAAATTTATTTAATAATTTCTCGATGTTACTATAGGAAAAAAAGTCACAGATTAGCACATTTGTATTGTACATGAGAATATTAATTCAGATGTGTCTATCTTACTACATTATTTAGGTGTTGTTGGGGAAATATTTTCCAAGGCCCATAACTTTGACCCAGTTTATCAGTTCATACTGTCCTGACTGAGCACAGGCACCTGCAACCTTGGCTGCTGTGCTCTCAGTGTTTTGTCTCCTTGTTCCTGCCTGTTGGCGTCAGCTGATAGAGGTGTTATGATTCTATCTTGTTATGCACAATGTTGATTATTCTCTCAGAACTAGCTAAATACATGGGTCTGGGATAGAGTTCTTCAGAATTGATTGTGGCATCTCAACCGTGTGGTCAGACCACGGCCCGTGATAGGTCTTGGGAATTCTCCGGCCGAAGCTCCAAATAAACCGTGTCAGTGTTTACCATCAAAAGCTCCAGTTCTCCTCGTGTCTCTTTGAGTCCTGACTCCCAATTGCTTCAGAAGTTTCCCCCACAGATGTCAACTAGTAAAGTGAAGAGTCCATACTACAAGTGTAAAGGGACCCTTACCTTTTGTGACTCAAATGTCCACAATCTAACCGATACAATTGTGACGGCTTCAAAGTAAAAGCAAGGTAGAATATACTTGTAGGACTTCTCATTTATAAAAACCTTGAAACCGAGGCATGTGACTACTCACTCACTGATACAGGTATCATATTTTTCAGTTGCTCTGAAGCCAATGATGGAGTAAGTAACTGTTGCAGCATACACTGAGGTGAGGCTAGTCACGACCGACAGGATCACAGCATCTTGCACGCAGTTGTTGCTTGGGAAAGGAAATAAGCAAAATAAATACATTAGCTTCGGTTCAATCAAAGTGTGCAAAATGAGACTTGAACTTTAAATTAAGAATCATCACATGTCCTCTAAATGTGTCTTACTGAACAGGGTTGTAGCTTGAGAAGGAGATGAGGCCTCCCCATCCCAAACCAAAGGCATAAAAGACCTGGGCACCTGCATCCAGCCAAGTGGATGGTTTTATCAACTCATTCACCTGCAAAGGAGAGGCACACATTTGAATGCGTCTCTGAGTTATGAGATTAAACGTTCCTATGAAGATTTGAAACATACGTCTGGTGTGAAGAGGAATTTTAATCCACTCATGGCACCTTTTAGAGTCAGTCCCCGGATCAGGAAGATGCCCAGCACTATGTAAGGCAAGATGGCTGTGACGTACACGGCCTGATGTCAATGACAAGGAAACATGGAATTATTGATATTTGGCAAAAGTAGTGGAGTAGATGGGTCTTGGCTACAGTTTGAGTTTCTTTAAGTTCAACAAACCTTGCCTGCTGTGCTGATGCCCCTTATGCAGCAGATTGCCACAATTGTCCAGGCAGTTAACAGGCAGAGTACTATCGGCCAGTTGATTCCTCCAGAGTCAGCTATAGAGGTGGTACTATTCAAAGTCACTCGGTAGAAATAATAATCAACAGTGGAGCTCTGTTGACACTCTGGTACAAATCCTATAGGGGCAACAAATACAAAAACAATTATGAATTGTGGATGCTCTCTGTGTGCATATGTGGGCTGAAACTGTATGTATACACACCTGTCCCATTTTCATTAAGAGGACACTGGGTCCAAGGCAGCGGGTTTTGAAAGGAATTGAAGAGATACCAAATGATCCAGGCTACTAGGGTGTTGTAATAAAGTCCAACCAATAAGGACACCAGCATTGATGCTATACCTAAGGGACAACATCATTACTTATGATTCTCTCAGGAAGCCAAATACTTGTTGATAACTTCTGTGTTGTTTTTAACTTACCAACACCAGTCAGATAAGGGTTGATGGACCTCCACACTCCCACACTGCCTTTCCTGAGACGCTGACCAATGGCAAACTCCAGCAACAAGAGAGGCATTCCTTCCAGCACCATCAGGATCAGGTAGGGAATCAGAAAGGCACCTAAAACATTTCATGTGGTTGGGAGGTTGGACATTTATGATTAGATGCATGAAGTACAGCTTGAGTACAGGCAATGTTGCTATTGTCATGCATAAACATTGGATTGGTTGGATTTTATTGATTTGTTGTTTAGGCTAAATTAAGTTCAAGTTGTCTGATTAACAAAAGTGAGTGGCCCATATCCAGGGGCGGACTGGCCATCGGGACGTTCGGGACGATGTGGGCCGGTCGGATAAGTCACTAGCACCCCCCCCCCCCCCCCCCCCCCGTTAGTAATTTACCGAAGTGGGCCGGTCGAGAGTCCCGGGCTGATTTGTAGTCCCAGTCCGCCCCTGCCCATATCACTATGCAGATATCTGCTGCATTTCAAGGTATTATGCCTGTGTAAGTAGAGTGTTGCTGATAACAAAATCCTTATGGGCCTTCTATGGGTTGAACAGAAGTTAGGTATTAACTACTGAATACTCTTTAAGGTTACACATCTGTTGTTATAAGATGCTATAAGTGTATGACTTTAATTGTTTTAAGTTTTCTTTATACAATGCACAACACATTAAACACTTACAGCAGACTAAAGTATAACATTGATTTATATCCATAAGGATTGTTTTCCCTTTGCTGTAAAGCTGCTTCTACTTTAAGCGTATGAATGTCTTTGAAACCTGTCCCACTTCCTGTGTCTAACAGTGAACCTTTTAACACTACACTTTTGAAAACAACAACACATACACACAGATGTATGCAGTATGAAGGAATTCTTAGCATTCATTTTCAACTCAAGCCAATAAAGAGCTCTGTCTTTAGCTCAGGCCAAAGGTCTTTCTACCGAAGACGTCTTACTTTTGAGAATCATTAATGTACAGCAACTTGAAGGAGCTTTAGGACACTTAGTCTTCTGTGAATGGCTTATTTAACTTTCCTTTTAGCTTTAGGTCGGTAGCCTTTTGCAGGACCAGTTATTTTGTTATAATTATATTGTTAACTTATCAGTTTAGATAAACACAGATACATCGAACAATGCCTTTTATTCCCATTATATCACAATAAATTGACCCTCGGTACCTTTTCCCCACTCTAATCTGTCAAACATTAATTCCACAGTTTTCGGTCTTACCTCCTCCATGACTTTGACACAAGTAAGGGAATCGCCACACGTTGCCGAGCCCAATGCAGAAGCCCACACAGGTTAAGATGTACTGGGTTTTGTTGTCCCACTTGGGCCTGTCGTCCTCCTCCTTATCCATCCTGTCCAGATCCTCATAGCTAGGGATCCGGAGATCCAGTCCGGGGTTAGGAAGTACCAGCCTCATGCTTACCACATGTGCACTGAACCAGAGAAGTAGAGTCTACTGTGTTTGACGCATTTGTGAGTGGTTAGGGTGCATGTGATACACAGTAGCACTTAGCAATGTTGAAACAGGTTTATGATCTTTTACTTTATCTGTTGTTGGCCATAAATTAGCCAGTGAGTTCACTCTCTTTACTTTGAGCTTTATGTACTTTTAAGTAATATGTACATTTCAAATGTCCAACATTTCATGCCATTCTGCAAGATTTAAAACAATGATTGTTTATATTACAGGTGAGAAAAGATCATTCAAATACTTTGATAATTTGTAACTCCAGTGTTTATTTTTAAGTGCTTTATTTACACTCCTTGTCGATGAATATAGGGGATATCAAACCAGAGATTTCATTTGTTACAACTGTTGCCAGGAGGATCCTTAAGAGCGTCTGTAAACTCATTAAGTTCTGCATGATTTATTTTAATAGCATATAAGTTCTCTTAAGTCTCAACTGCTGAAAGGATTATTAACAGATCATAACCTGACAGTTTATGGCAGTTTAAGTGCAGTAATAAACTGAAACTTAAAAATGCTTTACAATAGCCCTCTACAATAAGTACAACAAGTCAACAGTGTTATAAGTTCTCTTAAATCTCAACTGCTGAAAGGATTATTAACAGATCATAACCTGACAGTTTATGGCAGTTTAAGTGCAGTAATAAACTGAAACTTAAAAATGCTTTACAATAGCCCTCTACAATAAGTACAACAAGACAACAGTGTTATAAAAAGCTCTTTTGCCATTTCGCTTTAAATATCTAAAACATACCTGCATATTGTTTACATTCTAACATAAAACATTATAATTTGTATATTAGACAATTAGATTAAGTAAACTCACATTTATCAAAAGAGTAGCTAGACCTTTTTGGGCACAGAGAGTTAGATTTGAAAACCATCATGTTTTCTGTTAGCTAAATGTGAATAGCTACAGCCAATAGCAGGTTAGCTTAGCTTTGTTTAAAACGTGGAAACAGGGACATAGCTAGCCAGTCTCAACTGCTTCTTTTTTTGTAAATATTTAGAAAATAGGATATAGCCAGGCTTGCTGTTTCCCTTTGCCTGAGCCTCTATGCTAAGCTAAGTTAAGCTAAATGGCTACTAGCTGTATATTTTATATTTAGAGCACAAACTGGTAGGCCTATCCATCTTTTCATCTAACTCTTAGCAAGAAAGCAAATAGGCGCCCAAAATATCCAACTACTCCTTTATTTTACAACACCCACTTACAGGTCAAACATGATATAGCCAGAAACCAATATCACAGTAGTACGAAAAGTTAGCAGCAATTATTATTTTCTCCAAAATTATATTATTTTACAGATTCCGATTCACCCTCTGCTTTTCACAGATAAAAGTCAGAAGTCATTAGAGTGCTCTTCTGTGATTGTACTAACCCATGAGAAAGACAACGTATGTAAGCATAATACACAAATAACAGCACCACAAGTCCATATTCATGTTACTATTAAATATTCTGTTATTCAATGTAAGTAAAAGATATCTACATCTTCATTTTGTCATTCATTTCTACTTTGGCAGAGATAGTGTCCACTGTGCCATCACTGTAGTCCTCCTTTTTGCAGCATTTATTCTGGATGAATTTGTAGAGGGCGAATCCTGGGACAGCTAAACTGGGAATTCCAGCCAGGATGAAGATGATGACGTTGATCCAGGCGGGAAACGGACGTGCTTCAAGGGTTGGGAAATCAACCTATATGGTAAGAGTAATACAATAAATGTACAGAAACGTATGAGGTCTGAAATTACAAAGGTGGGTTTCTATCACCATAAATTTTAAAGTTATTTTAAGATAACACATTTAAAAAACATCTTTAAAGGTCCCCTATTATACTGTTTTTCATCCATATATTATAGGTCTCAGATATATACAAAACATGTCTCTGAAGTGTTTGGCTCAAACAGATCATTGTAGCATCCCATAATCCCCTCTGTTTCAGCCCTGTTTCAAAAGTGCTGATTCTCTGTCTGTTACTTTAGATGAAAAGAAGGAGCCACTCCCCACGCCCCTCTGAGAGATATTTGGTTAAAAAGAACACAATGGTGCTCTAGGAGGAGATTCAGGTGATAAGGTGGGGGGGGGGGGTTACCTTGGTTGGTGATTGGCTAATGGTTACACAAGCCAAAAAATCGTTATGACATCATAAAGTGGCCAAAATCCGATCAGCTCATGTTCAGACAGGTTTTTATATAAATTGATCAGGACAAAAAGAGAGAGAATCTTTTTTCCTGAAACTTTCAGAATCTCTTTACACAGAGGGGACACATGTTGATGTATAAAAGACATGAAAAAGTGGAATTTTGATGAGCACACTTACCGCCTCCTGGTCCCACACCAAATATGTGAGACTCTTAGTGATTTGGGTTACAAAGTAGAAAATCAAGATGACGACCATAATGAGTGGACTGACCACCCTCCACGTCACCTGCCAGAAAAGATTGGGTTTGTGGCCGATCATAAACTCAATGTCCTCGTTAAACCTGTAGGAAGCAATAAGAGGGAGACATAATGTCAGCTTAGAGTGTATGAAGTCATCCATGGTTGATAACCTTGAACTTTTATGAGTTACAATGAAGCAGCCTGTGGGTCTCTGTGTGTGTTTTACATGTTGAAGCTAAACAAGGAAATACAAACTCCACTCTGTTACTTAAATAACTTTTTGTTCTTACGTAACAGAAAGACTACAAGCAGGGGAGAAAATAAAGCAATATTTTTTACATATTAAACAATATTACTTATAAGCCACATTTTTTACTGCATACATCGACAATGTTATTGAAACATTTATTTTCAACATTCCTTAGTGTCGCTACATCTTAAGACAAACTGTAGTTTGTAATGTCTCCTACTGTATGAGGACTGTTCTTTATCTCTGTTCCAAGGTCAGAATTCAATACCAATTTCTTGCTTTGTTTCAACTTCACAAAGAATTGTCTAACTGAGTATTTGATTATTTGTATTTGATACCCTCATTGGCAATAACAATAATTGATCGTGTCCACTGATAGCACCATAAATTGCCCATCACTTGCAATCACTATCTCAAGGTCCGATTCCCTAAAGATATTACGCTAATGATATAACAGTGCCAACATGGCCATAAAGTTTTGCAGCTGAACTCGATTTGCTATTTTTGAATCTGATTGCAAACATGTGGCAAAGTGTAAATGTTGTCTTTGCGCCAAGAACTCCGTTGGCAGAGAAAAAGAGAAACAATACATTTTAAATGAGCTAGCTACAAGTCCTGACCAACGAGGCGCTGGGGCATTTCTCAGAACTTCAGTCAGGGAATTTTAATCTGAAAAACGTGTAATATCGTATGATCAGAGGAAAGTCTGCATGTGACACCCCTTAAACAACGAACATTTGATCTAGGGAAAACATTGCTGCGAAAATATAATGTTAAAAAAGGTCTCCTTAAGGTGTCATATTTGGAGGCTAGAGCTTGGATACATATACACTTCCAGCCACGCAAGCAAATACTCACCTATCTACGCCGTAGATGTACATCACAGCAATCATTTCACATAACCCGATGACCAGCAGTGGGATAGAGCCAGCAAAGCTGTCAAAAAGAGCTAGCCAGTAGTTTCCAGATTGCTGGGTAAAGATCAGTCCACAAGCGCAAGAGATTAAGCAAGTCAGACCTGAAATAAAACAATACAAAGAAGTGGGTTCAACCTTTCTGTAAAGTTCTTCAATCAACATCCTAACCCTATCAAAATGAAAAATAATCGTATATTTATTAGGACATTTGGGAATTTACCAGTGAAAACTTCTTTGGGCCAAGATTTAGGCAGTATGTTGAGGTCCTGCAAAGGAACCACCACTCCTTCTATGTTCCCAAACATAGTCGAGAGACCAAGGCAGAACAGCATGACAAAGAAGAGGACAGCCCATATAGGAGAAACAGGCATTTTGATGATGGCCTCTGTGAACACGATGAAGGCTAGACCTGTTCCCTCCACGCCCTGAAGGAGAACACCAAATATTTAAAACATTGTCCCTCTGCTAACTCACTGAGGTCAGATAAAAAAAGTCTATATTCTAATGTCAAATATTCTATATATCTACTGACCTGACTGAGGAAAGTCTGCATGTCACAAGTCTGTAATTGCAATCCTTGAATGATGTCTGGATTTGTCTGGTTGAATCGGGACAGAACCTGATCGTAGTTGCCTTCTGTGATGTTGTTTTCAGGATAGTTAAAGGCATTCATCAGCTTCAAGATGTTGCTAAAGAAAAAAGCACAACGAGATAAGTTCAGTCCTAGTAACTCTAAATATATCTTAAGGCTGCTTTTTTTGTTCAATTGAAAACTTACTCTGATGTGCAATCGTCAAATTTCTCCGTGGCCCTAAAGCCGATGATGGAGTAGATGACAGTGGCGGAGTACACAGAGGTGCAGCCATTGATGATCGAGATGAGAACGGCATCTTGCTCACAGTTGTTGCTAAAAGGCAAAAATGGGGTCATGTGAGGGGAGAAGTTCATAAGAAGGTTCATTATATGATGTGTAGTTTAGGCAGTATACTCACTGAATAGAGTTGTAACTGGAGAAAGAGATAAGACCTCCAAAGGCCAAAGAGAAGGAGTAGAAAACTTGAGCACCAGCATCCAACCAGGTCGATGGATTCATTAACTCATCTACCTTAAAGAGAGAACAAAATACCTTAATAAAACGTTTAATTAAGCCAAGATTTCTATAGTAATTATTTCCTTTTTAGATATCTGAACTGTGAGCAAACAATCCTACGCACCTACTGTCCTGGACTTTGTTCATAATTAATATGTGACGCACAATAAAATCTCCTTCATGTGAGATCATAAAAAGTTAATGGACGATTAATCAATTGCTAAACAACATACACTCAGAGATGTTTTTAAGTATTTTGAACCAAGTCAAAATCAAGCTAGACTTTCAGCAATGCTAGTATGGAAATTATAAGAGAAGAATAATAATAATAATAATAATACATGGGACTTGTATAGCGCTTTTCAGGAAACTCAAAGACGCTTTCAAGAATGGCCTAAATCACATCAAATACTTGTTTTTTTCACATGGCAAGATCCAGTTGCCAAATGAATCAAATCATAGCGTCAAATGCTAATGAAGGTATATCTTCTTGTCTAACACTTGGCAAGGGTGGTGTAAACTCATCTCTAATCGTCATATTATTTAACTTTTGCAGAATACCCCAGCTATATCCATGCCTTTTTGTGTAGTAGTGTCTGGTAGCGTTTTGGTTAGGTTTAGGCAACAAAATGACCTGGTTAGGTTTTAAAAAAGATTACAATTTGAGTTAGAATAAGTTATTAACGTATCACGGTGACATAGCTTCAGTGAAAATGATTTAGCTTTTGATTTGACACGGGACATGACTTCTGGTTGCAGATGGGTATATATTGGAGTCAGTTAAGCCCAGTGTCTTTCATACAGATGCTCAAGGGTGCAAATCACTTAATCAGCGTCACTTAATCCAAATTGTTTTGACATTTTTTACGCTATATTAGTTATTCTGACAATTGTATGTTTTTCGTTACAGCAGTGCTTACATCTGGTATGAAGAGGAACTTAATCCCCTCTATAGATCCTTTCAGAGTCAGTCCTCTGATGAGGAAGATGGTGAGGACCACGTATGGCAAAGTTGAGGTGATGTAAACAGCCTGAGAAAAGACAAAAAAGAAGATATGATCCTAATACATACCTTTTTTATATGGGATTGAACACATAAGCACATAAGCTGGCATCAATCTTGCATCAAACATTCAGATGTAATGTCATATTCAAACCTTTCCAGTGGTCTCGATGCCCCGGATGCAGCAGACATAAAGCAAAGTCCAGGCAGCCACCAGGGATAGCACCATCCACCACTGTAAACCTCCTGACTCATCGATAGCTGTTGAAGTGTTCAGAGTCTCTCTGTACCAGAAGTAGTCAACAGAGGTGCTTCGAGCACACTCTTCCACCAGACCTGCCAGATAAGCAGACAGCAATGGTCAGATCAAGCGGCCTTGGAAAGACATGTTACAGCAGATGTTGCTTTTTTAAGATTATTTCTGACTGTTGTCTCGATGTATGAACGCATACCTGTCCTGTTAGCATTTAGAGGACATTGGCTCCAGGGCAAAGGACTTTGGAAGGAGTTGAAGAGATACCACATGATCCAGGCCATGATGGTGTTGTAGTACATGCCCACCAGAAATGAGACAAGCAAGGATGCAATACCTATAACAAAAAGAAACAATTAGAGTTGTGGTGTTTTTAGTTTAGTAATTATCTGTGAGGATGCTCACAATAGCAATGCTGACAAGCTTATATTTGGCAGTAAAGTGTTCAATGTTTCATACATGTAAGCATGCTACAATTCGTTTATTGGCTCTAAACAGTTGACGATAATGAGAATAACATTAGTTTTAAGGGATTGGGTCTTAAATCACACTGTTGAACACAATGACATTTGGATTTGATGATGGCATTAGATATGAAAAAAGGATCAGCAAAGTGATCATAATTCTTCCTGTGGGGTGGCATGCATGTCTGTGCCAAAGTTCATGGATATAATACAACCACAAATTATTGTATACCTACTGTATATAATAAAACCACAAATCTTAACCTCATGGTGATGATGAAAGGATTCATCCTCTGGGGACCATGAATGCCTCAATTTGAGAGTAAATCCATTAAGTAATTGTGTAGATATTTAATTTGGGAACGGTTGATGGATCGACATATCTGTCATCCATTGAGCACCACAATCTAATGTGCATGTTTCTTCAATTTATTTTACCCACCAACTCCAGTCAGGCATGGATGGATTGATCTCCACACCCCCACGCTGCCCTTCCTCAGGCGCTGACCGATGGCAAACTCCAGGTGCAGCAGTGGGATGCCCTCCAGGACCACCAGGATAAGAAACGGGATCATAAATGCTCCTAAAATGTCAACATTGACATCGTTATAATGAGTTACCAATGTGACAAGTCAAGTCATTTAATCAGTTTCAACTTTAATGAAGGTAAGCAAATAAAACTGTACCCATAAAGACACCTATAAACCTTTAGTACCATATAAACCATTAATAGGAGTATCACTATTACATAGCGATCAAGTTTGAGAGAGAAAACGTAAGTAATTCAAGCAACAGTTGATATTACCAAAGATAAGTTGGTAGACTATTTTAAATATTCATTCATTCATTCATAACTTTGGAAAACTCAGTCTAGAAAGAAACAAGCTTTTTTTTTTAGAGAGCAGGATTAAACAGCTTACTGCTAAAAAATATATATTTGTAAAACTCTGACAGAACCTTATACAGTGCACAAGGTCTACAAAACTCTGTTAACCCACCATAAAAAAGATACTTCGTTTCAAGCTTTCAACATGAGTTTTACTTAAAATAAATGTTCAATAGGGTCAGTTAATGTGTGACAAAACCATGGGTGTTAAGTGCTACTGTAGGTTACATTTTGACCAAGTTTTTGAAAATCCTCAGTTACTGAAAACAGGTAAAGGCACATAAAGATCCTATAATAATTCATGCACACTGCTGGTTTTCTTGAAACTATAACGGAGAACAATCAGCCTACCTCCTCCATGGCTCTGACACAGGTAAGGGAACCTCCACACGTTGCCAAGTCCCACACAGAAGCCCACACAGGTGAGCAGGTACTGGGTTTTGTTGTCCCATTTGGGCCTGTCCCCTGCCTCCTCCTTCTCCATCCTCTCCAATTCTGCATGAGACGGGATTCGGTCATCCAGTCCCGGGTTTGGAAACTTCAGCTTCATTGTGTCTTCTTTTCAAATTCACTGGACTCAGAAAATCCGTTGTGTCTCCCTTTGGTAAGTAGCTGTTGGTTTTGCTACTTCCCTACAAGCCTTCGAGGTGCTGCGTCCTTTCTGGTATATTCTCCTCTGTGAAAACTGTTGCTGATTCTTGTTGAACTGTCTCTCTCTCTGATCCCTTCACCTCTACTGTATCCTGGGAAAGACCACTGAGGTATTAACTGCGACCTATGGCACCTGAACCGAAGTTATCAGTAGCTCACTTCATTCTGTGGGGTGTTACCTAATGTCAGCAAGGTTAAGCTGAGAAAGGTGCAACCTCCTTGATAATGGTTAATACATCACATGCGGTACCGTCACTGACACTTCTCCCTGGAAGATGAGTTTAGTATTCATTCGTTTGTGAGGGAAATTGAGCACTGTCTTGGCTGTTTATTTACTTATTTTAACACTCCACATAACTCATAACATCCCAGGACTACTTACTGAAGAATAAACTGCTGTACAAAACAACCATCATAGCAAAACGTTACTTCTTGTTCAAACATTATTACATTATTAATTCATATCATCTGAGTTAATAGAAATATATATTTATTTTATTAAAAGTAACAGTTATTTTGCATTTTGCTGAGCACTGCTTTGTTTCTGTCTCTTTCAAAATGCCACCTGTTAGTGTTGTACTTTAAATGTGATCCCATTACAAGATTATAGTTATTCTATTTTATGTATTATAACTGCATAGGCTGCAACTGGGTGTTTTTGACCCCTTGATACAATATATAAATTGCTGTTTTTAGTAATAACTAATTGAAACTAAAACCTTTGTTTCGACATTACTAGAAACTTTAAATGTTGATAAAGTTAGCTCTGAGGTCTGTGGGGACCCAAGTTGGAAGGATGAGGGTTAAGTGTCTGTTAGGAAAATATCACTCGACACCAGGTTGAGAATCAATAATCAGGTTCTAGTTTATTCTTGCAAGAAGGAGCAGAGTTAAATCACATACAAAGGATATGGGTTAACTCACACACATGGGGTATGTTGCTCAGCGGAGTAGCAAAAAATATGCAGCTAATTTCCTGCCATAACTCCACAAACAAACTAAACAGGTTTTACAAATGCCTTATGATTCACTAACAAACACAATGTGGTTTGCAAATACAAAACACCATCTACAAACTAATGAATTTAGTTTTGCAAAGAAAAAACGTATCTATCAAACAAACACATAACATTTTTCTAATAAATCATGTTTCAGAGACAAATTCAGCTTAGGTTTTACAAGTACACAACTTTTTTTTACAAGTGCACAAATTTGTTTTACAACTACAACACTTTGTTTTACAACTACAAAACTTTTTTTTACAAGTGCACAAATTTGTTTTACAACTACAACACTTTGTTTTACAACTACAAAACTTTTTTTTACAAGTACAAAACTTTTTCTTCTCACGGCGGAATATTACTGCCAAAAGTCACGTGAGTGAGTCACGTGACTTTTGGCAGTAATATTCCGCCGTGGCTGGCTCATACACAGTCACACATGCTCACTCACACATGCTACACGGCAGCAGGGGGCGCTACTGAGTCCATTGGGAAGACGGGAGGTTGAGCAGAGCATGGAACAGCTCTTGCCAGTCTGATGACAGGTGTTATAGTGATAATATTATAAACAAGGTGAATTTAGCGATCACAACGAAAACAGCCAAGACACATATTGAGCCCAGAAAATAAATGTTATTAGGGGCTGTAAATATAATAAGCCTTTGTCTAAAAGGGACAACATTGTAACTAAAGAGATTTAAACTATATATACAGCCAGGGGACGTTCGGGACGAATCCCGATGGGCCGGTACTGAAGTGGGCCGGTCGGATAAGTCACTGCTCACCCCCCCTTCCCCCCCGTCGACAATTTCCTCGCGGTATTTACTTGCGGCACCACCGAGGTGGGCCGCTTACTTGCGGTACCGAGGTGGGCCGGCGGTACCGAAGTGGGCCGGTCGAGAGTCCCGGGCTGATTTGTTGTCCCAGTCCGCCCCTGTATACAGCGATTCTGCACTCGGTCAATCAGCTGCTTTTCATTTTTATTCCTGCTATATTCAATGAGTGATACAAATATTTTTTACCACAAGTTCTTAATAAAACTGACACTGTTGGACTTGGTACTAGTTGACTGCAACCAGAAATAAAATGAAGTACTTTACTGTGTACCTTGTGAGTAATCCTCTGTCAGAGTCCCCTCCATAGTACATAATGCATGTTTTTTGCTATCTTTGATGAATGATAAAAATAAAATGTTACCATTAGTTCTTAATGAAATTGATACGGTTTGACTTTGTATTAGTAAGCCTACTACTAACAATACATTGAAGTACTTTTACTGTGTATTTTTTGAGAAATACTCTGTCAAAGTCCCCTCCTGTGAACAAAATCAAGCCACTTCTGCTAAGTTTGATGAGGGAATTCTTTTTTGTTGCCATTAGTTCTTCGTGAGATTGATCCTGTTGGACTCAGTACTACTGATACTACCCCCACAAGTACTATGAAGTACTTATTGTGTACTTTTCCAGTAATCCTCTGTCAATGTCCCCTCCTGAGTACAAGAATGCATGTTTTTCTTTTAATAAGCGTTAAAAAACATTTCTTCCTGAGACTGATATTGTTGGACAGAGTATTTTAAGAGGATGGTAGACATGATATCAGCAATACTTCCAGTCAGTACTCCGGCAGCAGCATTTTCACACCTTGGAAAGTCTTTAGAGTCTGGCCTGGAATGGATAGCTGGTCACAAATATCCTTCAGCAAAGTAACACACTCTGTCACATGGTTGCCCTCTTATGATGCTGCTGTCTTTTAATATATAATTATTCCTCTGCCGCTAGTTCGTTCCTCGCAGATTCTTCAGTCTCATCAGCCTCATCCTTCCATCAGTCCCAGTTAACGCCTCCAGCCCACTTCCAGTATCTGACTCCATATGATATTGTCCTGATGCTGTAAGGGTGATGCCCCATGATCACAAAATGACCCCTCTAGAGTGCCAAGGACCTCATATTATGTCTGTCATTAATGTTACATCACCCATTAAATCACCCAAAAAATATTTTTTTCCCTCATCAAACTTAGAAGAAGTGGCTTGATTTTGTTCTCAGGAGGGGACTTTGACAGAGTATTTCTCAAAAAAATACACAGTAAAAGTACTTCAATGTATTGTTAGTAGTAGGCTTACTAATACAAAGTCAAACCGTATCAATTTCATTAAGAACTAATGGTAACATTTTATTTTTGGGTCATTCCAGAATTGGAGGACATTTCATGTCCCCCATATAAAAAATCTAATAATCCATGCCCAAAAAGCTAAGACATGCACTTGTGTTAAATATACTTGTCTTGAGACAAGATGCATATAAAGTTGTAGAAAAAGTGGTTTCAAAATATTATTTAAAATATCAAATAGCTCTCGAACACCCCCTAAAATTGCCCTTTTCTCTTGTCCCAGCTTCTTGGTGACCAACTTGCATGTCAACTATAACATTTAAAATAGGGTTTTTATTTACTTTTTTGGTATTATTCTATTGATATATGTGTCTTGTAATGGTAAAATCAATTTGTTAAATCATAAACACATTTTAAATAACAGTAATTTTGCACAGAAGGTGTGTCCCTCAACATGCGCGCAACCCTGTTACCGAAACCTTTTTAGCTTGGCAGAGGAAGTGAAAAAACTGTTTGTCGCATGACACAGTGGAAAGGACATCAGCAAGCCATGTGCTACTACCATGGGTAGACCAAAACTAAGTCCTCTCTTTTATTTGTAATATATTTCCAATCTTGTCACTCTTGAAGGAGTGTGGCACTCATACAAACGCAACCCTGTTACTCAAATTATGAAACAAAAACAAATTAATTTCAAATGTATCTTTCTTTTGTTAAATATATATAAATATAAATATAATATAAAGTGTGTCCATTCCTTGACAATAGCATTACATTGTGCAGCTAGCATTAATTCCTGAGGTAAAAGCTAAAATTAGCATTGATTTTCAACCCTGTTACTTGCAACCTGTTGGAGTAGAACATTTCTGCTACGCGCCGTTCGTTGGATGAGGCTGGATCTCTATTAAATTAAGAAAGGAATTGAAAACACCGGAATCAAAGTTATAACAAATTATCTGAGTTTACTTCTAGTAGGAAACCAAACACATATACAAGTTATACAGAGTACTCGAGTACTCCGGACTTTCAGATTTGTGATGCGATGCGGATAAATGCGTCGGGACCCGCCAACTCATCAAACCAAAAAGAAATTGGACTTCAGGTTTGTGATGCGATACGGACACAGTTATCAGGACCTGCCACTCAACAAACCAAAAAAGCATTTTTACACACACAAACATCAGTATTTCTATCTGTCTTTGGGGCGGAGATTTGTCGATTCTTCCTTCCCACTTTTCTCCCAAGCGAATTAGAGAGCCCCTGGGGAGGAGCTGTTTAAACTGACCACCTCCCCCAAGTGCCCTGACTGGCTGGATTCGCTTCTGGTCTGGTTCAATCAGAGTTCGGACCATAAAGTTCCATAAGGTCAAAAGTCAATGTTTATCTTTACCTTATCTTACTCTACATTCCTTTCCCAGGGGATATTTTCACCTAAACTATCCTCCTTCAGACATTTAAACTCTTCCTCACCTATTTAACGATGTGTCTTTAACGACTTAACAGCCGCATCTGGCTTTTAGGGATGATAAGAAGGATGTTGGTGTATTGAAACACAGAATCTCTGAGCCAGTGAATTTAAAAGTGAGAATAACATTCCTATTCTATATATAATTACCCAAACCGTTGTGATTACATAAAACAGTTCAAACAATACATGTTTACTTCAATACAGTGTAGAATCATATCTTCTTACTTCAAACCCTGTTACTATAATTAGAGTAACAGGGTTAATTCTTCATTGGAAAATATACATTTGATGCCTTAGCTGGGCAAATCACTTTTTTTTATGGTTTATTATCTGTTTTTCCTAAATACATAACAAAAAATAATCAAATGAAAGGTTCATTTTTCAAAAATGTTGGTGTCTAAATTGTCCTCCAATTCTGGAATGACCCTTTTATCATTCATCAAAGATAGCAAAAAACATGCATTATGTACTATGGAGGGGACTCTGACAGAGGATTACTCACAAAGTACACAGTAAAGTACTTCCTTTTATTTCTGGTAGCAGTCAACTACTGTAGTACCGAGTCCAACAGTATCAGTTTTA